ACTCAACCTGAAACTGTAAGTCTTCTTGTCATTGTTCTTGGCAATAATTTCTTGAATTTAACACTGAAAGCATAGGCATCCAAAAGTAGACAAGTGGGACTACATCAAACTAAAAAGCTCTGCACGGAAAAGAAAACTATCAAGAGTGTAAAGGCATCTTATGGAATGGGAGAAAATATCCGTAAACCATCTATCTGCTATTTCAACAGCACACACACAGACAAACAAAAAAGCTCAATTAAAAAAATGAGCAAAGGACTCGAATAGATATTTCTCCAGGAAGACATACAAATCGCCACTATGTGTATGAAAAAGTAGGTGCTCAGTATCACTAACCATGAGGAAAACTCGGATCAAAATCACAATAAGCTATCACCTCACACTTGTTAAGATGGCTCTTATAAAAACAAAATAAAAGATAACAAGTGTTGGCAAAGATGTGGAGAAATTGGAACCCTTGTGCCCTGTTAGAGGGACGAATAGTGGTGCAGCGCTATGGAAAACATTATGAAAGTCCTCAAAAAAAAATTAAACATAGAACTACTATACGATACAACATTCCTACTTCAGGGTAGTTAATTATAAGAACTGAAATCAGGATCTGGAAGAAATATCTGCACCTCCATGTTCACTTCAACATTATCCCAATTGCCAAAATATGAAAACAACCCAAATGCTCATTGACGGATGAATGAATAAAGAAAATGTGGAATATACTGATAATGGAATATTACTCAATTTTAAAAAAGAAGGAAATCTTGTCTTTTGTAATTACATGGATGAACCTAGAGGATGTTATACGAAGTGAAATAAACCAGTCACAGAAGAAGGATAAATACTACATGATCCCACTTACGCGAGGTATCTAAAGCAGTCACATTGATAGAAGTAGAGAATAGAATGGTGGTTGCTAGGGCTGGGGGAGGGGGAAATAGAGTTGTTTTTCAATGAGTATAAAGTTTCAGTTATGAATGATGAGTAAGTTCTAAGAGATCTGCAAAACACAGAACCTATAGTTAACAAACACGAACAGTTTTTGGAGGTGCTGAATATGTTTAGTACCTTGGTTGTGGTGATGAAGATGTATACATTAAATGTGTAGAATTTTTTTTGTGTGTGTCAATTATATCTCAGTAAATCTTTAAAAATATAATTACTTACACAGGGGAAAACTAGCAAGAAGCAAGATAATTTACCTTTCTGAATTATAAAAGTTTCAGGAATCAGAGGTGCCATTACTTCAAATGACAGGTTAGGGTGGTGAAAAGCAAATCTGACCAAAAGAAGCTCACCAGTGAACCAGAAGCACCTCTACAGAGAACCCTCATCACTGCTCATGTCTCTTTCCTAAATGTAGATAGATACTTAGCCGATGCCTGATGGGATCTTTGAGCACAAACAAGTAATGGGGTAGGAAGTGGGAAGAAACTAACTCTTGAACCTTGGAAGAAATGAATGAAATTCAAAATATTATCATCTTTAATAGCAGAGAGAAAACATTGGATTCATTAAAAAAAAAAGGATGTGATAAAAATGAAGCAACTTATAAAAAGAACTTTTAGAAATTAAATTTAAAAATCACTAGAAGAGATGAATGAGCTGAGAAAATCTCACAGATGATATGATTCAAAAGAAAACAATTTTAAAAGATTGCCAAGGAAATGAACAGAAAGCTTGTAGAGGATCAACATAGGAGACCTATATCCAACGAACAGGAATTCCCAAAAGATAGAAGAAAGAAGCAGAAGGGAGGAAATTATCAAAGAAACATTATAAGCAAAATTATGTGAGTTGAAATAAATTAGTTTCCACTTGAAACGGCTTTAGAGTACCCAGAACAATAGATGAAACCAACCTCCACCTAAAGCAAATCATTATGAATTTCAGCAATCAAGGGATTAAGGAACCAGAAAGTCTCAGAGATGCTAAGCAGGTGACACATGAAGAAAGAATCAAGAGTCAAGATGGCAGCAGAATTCTCGTTAGCAATACTGGAAACTGCAAGACAATAGACTAAAATAATATTCAGAATAGACTTTTATCCTTACCAAATTTTCATACAGGTGTGAGGATAAAAAAATAAACATTTAAAAAAATACACATGAATGATCTTAAAAAACATATGCATGCCTTCTATGAAATCTTATTCAGGAGGCTATAAATAATGTGCTACACCAAGATGAGAGAGTAAAACAAGAAAGAGGCATACGTGAAATCTAAAACGTGGTGTCCGACCCGGTATGGAGGTCATGCTTCAGACGGTCAGGTCTAGAGGCCTAAAGTAACCAGAGCTAATCAGAGCTGGAGAATGGAAGGTTCCAGGAGAACCTCTCCAAGAAAATAAAACGGAACTGATAAATTACCTATAACATATAGTTTTGTGGAGAGTTTGGGAAGAATTGGTAATAAAGACATACAAAATCCAAGCAAATATATGTATATATTTGAATGACAAGGCAATAGTTGTTTATGGGGGGAGGTGTTGCACAGGAAAGAAATTGTAATACATTACATGATTTAACTGTAAAGAAATTTAGATAGTCACAGTAATAACAGTACCTATGTAAGTAACTAGTATCTATAGAAGTAATCTATCCAAAAATTCGTCAGAGGGTAGGATGGAATAGTTTGAGGCAGGCCAGAAGTCCAGTCTAGAACAATTAGAATTGCTGGATAGAATACCAAAACAACTATTTGAAAAAGCATTAGAGAGTTACAAAATCAGAGACTTAAGGTTCCTAAGACAGTAGAACTTTGGGAGTTGAGTGCTATCGTTGTTCTTTTCTAGGGGTATTTGCTGATTCTGGTAGCAGAGGCTGAAACAGATGAGCTTGTATTGTCATGGAGGGCTAGAACCTTGAAAGGCCCCAATATGCACCCAGTTCCCCCTCCCAAGATGTTTGGTAAAGTTGTTCACGCCAGGAGGCTGGAAGAACTCTGTCAAAGTCTCTGAAAAGCAGAGCAGAATTACCTGCAGGTTCCCCATTAGGAAACAGTGATGACAATTATGATAAGGCCTATTTAACATAAAGGAAGAGAGCTGAAGGCCCTGAAGGATGTGGAGATCTGGCTACAAGATCAGTGGTCATTTTGTTCTCTAAGAGCACTCATTAATTCTGGACACAGCTAGAGGCTGAGAGTCTGGACTTGGCAGAGGCAGAGGATTGTGGCTAGAGGACAAAGAGCTAACAGAACTTTTGATGGTCATGTATGGTTCGAGGGCAAAATTAGAGACTTCAAGGAGATAAAATTTCAGTTGTCTTTTTCAAGTACTTTTCTCAGTTCTGAAGGTGCATGAAGCAAGAGACTGAAAATATGACAGAGGGATTAAAGAGGAGAAATGACTACTTGAATGCAGTCTCTCAGTGGAAAACCCTGGGTGTCTTCATCTGGGATCAGGGCAAACCAGAGGTATTTTAAACCTTATAAAAAAAATGCAAATGCATCTTGACTCACTTTATGTCCTAATTTGCTTCAGTAATCCACCTCATTACGTTACCTGCCTAAAAGAGGAAAAGGGAGGCCACTCAAATGTGGAAGATGACAGCATCTGGTGGCTCTGTGTCTTGTATACACAATGTCTGGCATTCAATAAAAAAATAAAATAACTAATGTCAAAAGACAGAACTATGGCATGAAACCAAGAGAAAAAAAGGTAATGGAAGCAGATGCACAGATGATCCAGAGATTGGAATTAGCACACAAAAACTATGATTAAAAGCACAAGAAAATGGATGAAAAGATGGAAAAAATTAGAATGTTGAATAATCCCACCAGAAAATTGAAATTCACAAAGATAATCAAATGGACATTTTAGAGCTGGAAAAAAGAAAAAAAAAACAATTTCTTAAACTCGGTAGAAGGATTTAGTCAAAGATTTGGATACAGAAAAAAGACAAAATTAGTGAATTGGCTAACTAGAAGACTCACGATTCAATAGAGACTATCCAAGTCAAGTATAGAAATTTTAAAATTGGAAAAATCCCGAAAAGCATATAAGGAATATGTGAGAAACAGCCAAAAGTTCTTGTTTGGGGAGGGCAGAAGAAATAGTTAAAGAGATAATGGCTAAGAATTTTCCAAAACAGATAAAAGACATCAACTCACCAATTTAAGAAACTCTGAAACCCCACCAAGATAATTGCAAAACAACAACAACAACAACAAAACAAATCTCAAAACAATAAAATCTGGACTCATTACAGTATAATTACTAAGAAAATAATATCAGAAGCAGCTAAAACTGAAACCAAACCTCAAGCCACAAACTTTGAAAAATGATGGTTCATCAATCAACGATCTTAAGTTTCTGGTGTAGTAGAGCAGGATTAAACAAATAACTCAAAACCCTTCAACCCTCACTTGCAATGTCACTTTCTGTTGATGAAACTTAAAAGATGGAGGAAGCAGTTAAATGTTATGAATCACAGAAGAGAGGAAAACACTGTAAGAATCGATTATGTAAAAGTAAAGGGAAGAAGAAACCAAGGACTTATTACAGCGCAGAAACTGCTTTTGACTTCAGGGAATTTGCTGATTCCAGAGAACCAGATGCTCAGGTTGACAACCTTAACACGTAAGAGTGACGTGAACAAAATCCAGAGTCCACCTGGGGTGGAGGGTCTAATGGGAGTCCAGACCATGACCATCACATCTTCGCAGTGACAATAGAGAAGATGACTCTGGCCTGCATTGCATTCCCAGTGAACCCCTTGGGTGCCTCCAAGTGCTCTCAGACCCTGACCTTGCGTTAAAGTGTTCCCTGGACAGGCACCTGGGCATAGCAAACAGAAATCCTTTCCAAAAGCTAGTACTTTTACCGCAGACCTAAATTTCACTCACACATAATTTTTTTCAAATACAATTAGATACACAGTAAAAACAAAACAAAACAAAACAAAAAAAACCAACAACAACCCCAAAAAACAAGAATCAAAAACCAACAAACCCAGCAAAATATAAGCAAAATTACTTTTGTGATTAGAGTGCACACGAATTACCTTCTTCTTTCTGACATGTATTCTTGGAGAGTCAGGCAGAAGTTCTTCCTGAAAAATAAGAAGATCCAAGTAGCTGGTTAGCCTGTGTTTCTGTTTAGTGAGTATGGCTTTTTCAACCTCATCATCACTGACCCACAGTCAGCTCAAACCAAGATGAGATTAGTGCAGAAGTCCACAAACACAACTTTAACCAAATGATCGAGGACACTAGCCCTAGTGATTGATAAGTCAGGTTGACATCTCTCCTGATATGATGTGATGAAAAGGGTACTTTGATATTCTTTCATAAAACCTAATTATGAGAAAAACATCGAGATGAACCCAAATTGAAAGACATTCTATAGAATGCCTGACTGGTACTTTTCAAATTGCCAAGGTCATGAAAAATGAGGGAAGAATGAGAAACTGTCACAGACCACAGAGAATAGGTGACAGAATGACTGAAAGCAATGTGGTACCCTGGATTGAATTCTGGAACAAAAAAAGGGACTTTAGTGGAAAAACTGGTGAAATTAAACATGTCTGTGGCTTAGTTAACAGTGATGTACCAGTGTTGGTGTTTTGGTTTTAACAAATGTACCACAGTAGTGTAAGAGGATAATGTCACAAGACATGAAACTGGTGTGCAGTACACCGACACTTCTGTAATATCTTTGCAACTTTTCTGTAAGTGTAAAATTATTCCAAAATAATAGTTTATCTAAAAAAAATTAAAAACTCTGATAGTGAGAACAGCAGAGACACTAGAAAACAGAGTGAGGAATACCCCATACATTGGAAATATCAGATGGAAATATCATAACTTCTTTAATGTGTATAAGTTTTCATATTAAGAAAGGAAACCTACAGCAAACATCATCAATAATGGCGCAATGAGGAAAGCTTTCCTTTTGAGACTCAGCTCAACATACAGATGATTACTATCACTACTTATATTCACTGTAATACTGGACATCCTGGTCCACACAGCAAGACAAGAAAAAGGAATAAATGTAAGGATGAGATCTGAGTAAACAAAACTGCCCTTCTGTATACATCGTATAAATTAATATATACATATATATCTCTGTATAAGTCATTAGAATTTAAAAGAATTTGGCAAAGTTTTAATTCATTTTTATATCTTAGTAACCGGTAGCTAGAGAGTTAATTTTAAATTATGTAGATTTAAAGGTATCAAGTCTCTATGAATAAATCTAGCAGAAATATATGACCTCAAAGGAGAAAAATACACTTTTTATTAGAAAATATTTTTAACACTATACAGACACCATATTAATGAGATAGAACAATACCATGAAGATGTCAATTCTCTTCAAATCAAGCTATCGATTCAGTACAATCCTAAAAAAAATCCCAACAAGATTTTGACAAGCTGGTTCAGAGATACAAAGGGCCAAGACACTTTGAAGAAGAAAAGAGGACGGGATGATCTACTCTATCAGATATTCAGAGCTCATATGAAGCCGTCCTCACTATGACAGGATGGTACGACACAAGGAGAGGCTCTCATTGGTCAATGGCAGAGAAGAGAGAACACAGGAACAGACCCTACACTTGTGGGTAGCACTGCAGGTCAGTGAGGAAAAGAATGGTTAGCCCAACAAGGGCGTCCTCAGAAAAACCGCTAAGAATAATGATAGGTTCTTTAAACTGTAGATCAGCTGGGAAGCAATTCAGTTTCAGTTAAGACAGGAACTGTGAAAAAAAAAAAATCGCCCCGTTGAAGACCGTACGAATCGGAGGTGAGGGGAAAGCTGCGGTAAAATGGAGGAATGGGCTGTAAAACCATGACAGGCGCATGAAAAAGAAAGCGAAGCAACCCAGGAACCAAACAACAGACAGAATCGATATGGAGAAATAACCCAGAGGATGAGCAAGACATCACCAAAGCAGTTAACATCACACAAAAACCTAAATGAATAAAGCAACAGTGTGCAGATGGGCTGAAATAATAACAAAATGTAGCTTTGAGTGGAGCTTGCAGAGCTGTTATAGCAAATTAAGACCCCCTTTTCAAAAATAAACGCAATGAACTTTAGAGATTATAAAAATAAATACTAAAATTAAGATAATTGTCATGGAAGAAAAATTTGAGACAACTGTTATGAACAGAAAGTAAAAAGCTAAAGAGAGAAAAGGTTAAGGACAGAGAAAGCTGTGAAGCCTAGAGTTGCCGCAATGGAAGAATAGTTTTGCCTCCAAATTAAAAAAGAACACGTTTTTGAGGATATTAGAGAAGACACTTTCCCTGAAATAAAGATAGACTTGAATCTGCCACCTTAAGAACACAAGGATTATGGTTAAAGACAGTGTGTATGGAATTCACCAGTAACTTTCAGCATTGTTTTATTTATTCATAACAAGGGTGCATCTACCTCAAATCAATACTATAATGAATCTACACTCTAAATTACAAGCTTTAATAAGATAGAAGTCACCATAAACAAAATTAAAAGATAAGGAAAGTATATTTATAACTTTTGGAATATTTAGCAAACTCTCCCTTATCAAAGAAAAGACAATCACCTCGACTGATAACATTGACAATAAATAAACCAGCAATTCACTGAAGATGCAATTTGAATGGCCAATAAACACAAAAAACTGTTCAACATCCCATGTAATCAGCACAAATTAACTAAATGAATCTCTTTATCTAACACCTTTGCAAAATGGCTGTTGGAATATGGTTCACCGCATTCGCTACTATTAGGAGAATAGGTTCAGCTACTTAGAAAGGCAGCTTGGCAGGGTTTATAACAACTAAGAATTAGAACTTTTTGCCTCAACAATTCCACTTTTTTGGTTACTGACACAACACAAATACCTGTTTATATGCAAAAAAGAGAGAAATATATAATTGTTTCTATCACAGCTTGTTGGTAAAAGTGAACGATTGAAAATGACCTAAGCGTTTGTCAGTGGGAGAGAATCATTTAAAAATTACGATATATCTGATATCGTAATATGCAGAATCTAAGGAACGAAAAGAACAAACTAATCAAAAACAGACTCACGAATATAGTGGATAATTTGATGATGGACATGGGGGAGGGGGTTTGCGGGGCTGGGAGAATGGGGTGAAGGGTTAAAGAAGTACAGATTAGTAGTTGATAGATGGTCACGGGGATGGGGAGCACAGCGTAGGGAATGCAGTCAGCATTAATATGTTGGCTAGGTGGAGGGCCAGGGGAGGGAGGGAGCAATTGGGGGCATCATTTAATGAACTATATAGATGTCTAACCAATGTACTGTATACTCGAAACTAATTAAAATAAATAAATTTAAAAAATTATGATATGTCAATTCCATGGAGTAGTATGCAGCTGTTAAAAAGAGTGAGGAAGATCTCTATGTTTATTAAAGTGAAAAGGTCTCTGACATTTCACTATGTGAATAAGTGAAAATGCAAAATGGCATATACAATATAATTTCATTTATTAAAAAAACAAGACACATGTTACATATTTAGGAAAATAAGTTAAATGTGTAAATGCATAGAAAAGATAATGAAGGTTATGCCCTCGACTCTCAAGACCAGAATTGGAAGCTGTAGGGGGATCAGTGGTAAATGGGACTTTTTCCCTCTATACGCTTCAAGTCGTTTGAAATTTCATGAACGAGAATGTAAAATATAATTTTTTTGTATTAAAATAATTAAAAAATAAAACTTATTAAGTGAGGTTATTTCTGACCTATTACTAGAAAAAAAGGAATAGGATTTTTAGCCTTTTCCTTGTGAGAGGTATCATCCATTTCAGAACAAAACATCAAAGCAAAAATGGAAATACTCAGCCTGCCCCTGTCTTTGGCATCTTAGTCCTTTCTCTTCCTCTTACTCCCTTTATCAGGATCACTGAGGAAGGACCCAGACCCCCAGCCAGAGATGGGAACAGGCCTAGAGCTGAGCCGGCCCCGGATTGGTAGGAGAGCACAGCACTGTTTGCACACAGCCTGATGTTTACCCTGAATTTTATATTTGCTAAAGTACCTTCTTTAAAACGACCTAAGAGAGGGTAGAGGAGGCCAAATCGCTGCCTCAAAGCCTCAGAAGGGACAGCTGACTCCAGATGGAGATGGGCCCCGAGCAGCAGCGTCAAACAAGAGTCCTGTGGGCTGTGACAAGCTGGACTCTCACACGCAGCTGTCCTGCTGCAGCTTAAACCCGATTCCCTTCCCTCATAGTCCTGCATTTCATTACCCTGCCTGTGAGTGTGCTTGTAAAGCAGGCTTAAGGAAAAGGTTTAGATGAGTGTCTGACGACAGACACTAAACTGCAACGTGGCCAGAGAGAAAGTTACAGGGAGATAGACTGACCTGGCGATGAGGTTGCCCCCTCCACAGGCCATCTTTCGGTCCCGGGACCTGCCTGGCTTCCGATACCTCCGGTCCCCCTCTCCCAACCTGGGTCCAATGTGGCTGTCCAGCCCTGAGCAGGAAGTCTGTGAACCAACCCCCTCTGGAGGGCTCCACCCAAATGGAGAAAAGAGAAGTGAAAGCAATTTCCTCTGTGTTGTCAGACGCGGTCTCCCTCCTCCTGCAGCTCCGTGGGGGATCTGAGCCTTCCTGACGTGTGGCAGCAGGAGTGGAGGACAAGGCCTGGCAGTCACAGCTCGGAGGCCAGGGGAGGAGTCTCCAGAGCGGGGAGCAGGGCCAGCTCCCAGGAGTCCCCTTGTTTGTGCAAAGACACCGAAAACATCTGTGGGAACCTCGCTGCCACAACCTTCTAAGAGCAAGGCGGAGTTTTCGGAGTTTGCTCTCCATGTTCAGAAACAGGGCTAGAGAAGCACTTACTCTAGAGTCATGCTGTCCACATTTTTCCCCTTGAATCCAACTTCCTCTGGATGTGAGTAGGGGTTCTCATCCAGTTACATTTACGGTACAGGGGAAGGTTCTACCCTCTCTCCACTTCTGATCTTTCTTGCCCAAAGGAGTGAACGTCAGTCTCATTGGGACAGATTCCAGGACTCCGATGAGGACGACTTTACCAGTGGGCAGTGTCCGTGTGTACCACGTGCTGCACACACGGGGCCCTCTCCCTTCCTCTCCCTCCTCCCCTCACTTGGGGTAGG